GAAAAAAAGAAGATTTATTCATAACACACGTGAAAAGACCCAGGAAAACCGAGTTAACGATAAAAACGATAACAAAATAACCCTGAAAACCGATAAAAACCCTCAAAACCATACACACCTGAGCCTCAACTCTCGCGGCCCGGTACCAAACGACTCACGGACCGGTACCAGTCCGAGGCCCGGGGGTTGGGGACCGCTGACATAGGGGACAGACATGGGGGAAAGGGAAGGGAGAAAGAAAGAGAGGGAGGGAAAGAAAAACAGCGGGGAAGAGGAACGGTGATAAAGAGCACAAAACAAAAAAGAGGTGGGGGGATAAAAAATATGTGTGTATATATATATATATATATATATCAATCACCTGCTGAGAGAAAAAAAAAGAAGAGAAAACAAGCAAAACAGAGAGCAATATAATAAACAACATCATCATGACAATCTATTTGAATATAACAGTAAATACTTAATATTGAATATTATTGTGCAGCCTGTAAGATTGACAGCGCACAGTGTGCTTTGAGGTAGGAGCCAAAAAGGGTGTAATTTGTATCTGTGAGCACCCGTGTGTACACCTGTGAGCATGAGTGCGCTTGTATTCAAAAGGTTCCTTCATGTAACGATCCGCTAGAGGGTGTGGGGAGCCATAGCCCCGTCCTCCAGAGCATGAAGCAGGTATGGAGGAGATCCAGACATCCAGAGACCCTCAGAGCACAAGAGACCAAGAAAGACCAATGGAGGGGCAACCGTGCCACTCTCCCGGAAAGAGCTGAGGAGAGCCCCAGATGAGGGGTCACCCAGCAGCCGTGGAGCAGAAGCTAGAGGTGGTTGCAGTGTCGTGCACATGAGCTCCAATGGCAGCCTGGTGTGCCAGAGTGGACCGAGCTCCAGGCCCAGAGGCCAAGGGCACCCCACCACCCGAAGGGGCCTGACCGAGCCACAGGCGCCAGGCCCTGACAAGCAGCCACCGGGAGTGAACCAGTGCATACCTCAGCACGCAGCCCCGGATACCAGGAACCACTAATGCACCGATGTCTGAGGGCGTCAGCCACTGGCAGGGGGAGTGGTCAAGGGAAATAGGCCTCCATACCATGGAGGGCCTGAGATGTCCCTAGAGAGGTGGTGTCTAATACCCGACCTGACATATTGACACAGACAAACGGGCACACACAGATACAAACATCCATCTGCCCCGCCATGCAACATATGCAAGTACTCAGCACTCACCCAACGTGGAGACAGACATAAGTAGACACTGTACACACAATCACCCTCCCCAAACGTACTCTATATCCCCGGTCTAGGTACTCTTGCGCCTGGAGGAGGAAACTGCACCCAGACCCAGGAGGTGTCACCCTTTTCCCTGGGGTGGAGACAAGCAGACCGCTCCCGACTCCGCAGCAGCAAGGAGGCCCCACATTTCAGATCCCAATCGGACGGCCAACTCCGATATCTGAGACCATAAGCTTTGGTCTAAGTTGATAAATCTGCTTCCCATTTTGCAATAGGAAGTGATATTGATTCATCTGTTTTAGAAAGCATTCTGTATATTTTGGAAAATAATACAATAAATAATTACATTTTCTTTCTAAACAACAAATTATGTGGTATATTCGCTCCCTAATACATCTATAACTTTGGTATACTCCGACCTGTATTTCGTGTTGCACTAACTCACCAGCAGGGGGCTCACTGTGACACTTAAAGTGTGACCTTGAAGGAAGTTGATTATTTTGGCTCTTCTGAAGAAGATTAAAGAATATTAAAGCTCATGATATTGGTCTGCTAACAAAGAAACAAACAAAGAAACAAACAGAGAAACAAACAAAGAAACAAACAAAGAAACAAACAAAGAAACAAACAAAGAAACGAACAAAGACTGTTTGACTGTTAAACTAATCATTATTTTCCCACATATCTTGCTTAATTTTGCTTTGCTTATTTATACACTTTATATAATTTATTCACTTTACACTCACTCACTTACACTGTTGATAATTTGCATTTATGATTTT